ACCGCCTTCTGCAAGCAGGTTGATGTCCAGCCAGTGTCCATTGGCTACCTTGGAAGACAACCCTCACTCCACCTTCTTCTGCTGCTAGCCCAGTTTTACTGCTGAGCATGACATTATATCATATGGAATATCCCTTTGGAGTATTTGGGTCAGCCCTCCCAGCCTCTTTCCCACCCAGCCTCTTCCATACACTGTGGGGGCAGAGTGTGAAACAGAAAAAGCCTTGATGCTGTGCAAATGTTGTTCACCAATACCCAAAATGCTCGTGTGTTATCAACACTGGTTTAGCCACAAATCCAAACACAGCACATACAGGCTGCTATGAAGAAAGTTAACTCCATCCCAGCCAGACCCATAACATTCACAAAGACATTTAGGCAGCTCTTGACTTGCATTAACTCCACTGTTGGCTGCACTCAGGTTGGGCAGAATAATCCAGCTGAGCCTCCTGTCGAAGTCAGATGACCAGGAAACAGTGAACATTCACCACTGAATCATTTAGTTCTACTTCACTTTTCAACCCACTCATGTCCAAAGGAGGCTCAGGTCTTAGTTTCTGTATATGTGTTTTTCTCTAGGCCACAAAAGCTCTGATGCCCATCAGAGAGTTCTGCATAGGACATAGTTTCATGAAGCATCCTTGTTCACAGCAGGGTTACTCACCTCAGAAAATGTCACAGTGTAAACATTTCAGTGGCAATATCGTGAGTCTTCTCAGTAGAATTTTACATCATGGAGAGCTTTTATCTTCTGTGTGGCTACAGCAAGTTCTATTATTAAATGTCTCTAACAGCATTTCTTCTGACCTCCTTGAACTTTCTCTACACAAGCCATACTCTCTGGCATAGGCACAGGTTCTCTGCTGAATGTAAATGATATAGACTACGATGCTGGGGCAGGAAATTATTCTTCCTGACCCATAACAGTTGTTGTCATTCAAGATCAAGACAAAAAGATAAAGTCTCCAAAATTCACACAGCTAAATCTAAAAATCAGCATCTGCTTCCTTTTGATATTGATCTTACTAGAATTAGATTGATTCCTGCTGATTTTGAGCCCAAAGAAATGAAAATTCTTTTCACAAAAAGATTTTTAGTTCAGTTCAAGCCCAATGTTTATCAAAACCCTCTCCCTTTTTTTGAAAAAAAAAAAAAAGAGGGGAGTTGACAAATTTCCAGCAGAAAATAAAGTTGAACATGACACCTGTCATTTCTCACCAAGCTCTTGTGTTTAAACTCTCCTTTTTAGTTTTACCCATGCCCCAGTTAAAGAGATATGTGAGTTGCTCAATAGTCTGTCAACTGGAATGGGGCTCTGGAGGCTTCCAAATTCCTCTCTTATATATGAGGAAATAATCAGTACCACATGCTAGAGTCACAGAGTTCAAAGTGCTTCAAACACATCCTGATCTCCTGACACCCAGACACTGGTCCAGATCCTACTTTACTGCCACAGTCAGACATCAAGTGGACATAAAGGTGAACCTGCTCCTAACAATAAACCAGCTTTTTTTCATCAAGCTTTAACATTTGGACATCAATAGATTTCCTGGAAGCCTACCAAAATGTAGATAAATGATCACATGGTGGGTATCTGGGCTGTTTTCAATATCAGGTGGAAGCATCGTTCCTTCAGCAACTGTTTCAGACATGGCTGTGTAATGTAGTCCTCGCCTGCATAATTCAGCAGTGTTTTGGTATAGATCATCTCTCTCTGAAATCAAAGTCTTTCTTGTCATGTCAGTACATTGGACTTAAGCTAGTAACCCACTAACTCTTCTATACATGTTCAGCTATACCCATACAAGCTGTCCTATTGTGAGAAACAATAATGGTTGTTTCCCATTTATGCGCCTTTCCCTTCAGATTAGAGGTAATATGGTCACAAAACTGCACAGCCTGAAAAAAAATCACAAGCCAGCCTGTTGACTGGTGTTTCCAGTCCTCAAAAAGTATCACTTCCAGTGGGGTCTGGTGGAGTGAAGCTGAGACCAGTGTTGGTCTCAGGGGACCAGGGAGGTTGTGACTGCCCTGCTCAGCTTTGGTTTTCTCTGCCAGTGCTTCATGGACCTCTGTCAGATTGCACTGGTATAGCTGGGGGTACAAGATAACTCCACATTTGTTAGGGTAAGGGCCTCTCTTTTTGCCTGAGGGCTTTCACCCATTCTTGTAAATTAGTGTTTATATCTAGTTCTCCAAGGTAGAGAGACTCTCCTGAAAGGCCATCTCATTTGGGAGGCAAGGGACAAAGGCTACCCACAGCCTCCTATTTCTAGAGGGCCCATTTAAAGAGCTCTCTTCTGATCTCTGTAACAGCAGAAACTTCTTTAACTTCACTGAACTGGATTTCCTGCAGCACAGGATACCTCACAAGAGAATGTGAATCAGAAAAATTACCTAGACAGTGTTGTGCATGCTCCCTAGGAAATGTCAGTAGTTTCAGTGAGATAGCGCTCCCATCCATCTCACCTCTGCCTCTGCATCAGCTAACGCAGGTAGCCTGTCTGACCAAAAGGATGTTGCAAAATGTCTTTGTGTACAAGGAACTTGGGGGAAGCGCAGGAAGAAATGATTATACAGTAACTGTACTGATAAAGTTACAGAAAGTTAACTTCCCTGTGACCCTGTGGTTTCACTACTGGAATAATATGAAAAGAGAGAGACAAAGCTGGCTGCTAGCTGTGACATGACATCAACAGGGAAGTCAAAGGAAAGATTTGTTTAACATGCTTTCATTTACTTCTTAGAATAGTGATGACATTGCATTAACACCACCAAAAAGTGAGTCACATACGTAATTGCTGCTTGGAGCTATCAGGATCTATATAAGCATTTCAGCTGTGGTCTTGGAAGACAGAAAGTCAAACCCTTTCTGCTATAGCAAGGTTCCTTGGCCAGCTGGGCACTATGCAATACCTCCTACTTTGTGCTGCCATCCTCCTGTCTGAGAGTCTTGCTTTTCCAGCACAACTTAAACAAGAATCACGGAGCAACACAGACCTTGAGAATGTAAAGGTATGTTAGCAGGGGAACAATGTAACTGCATTATGAATAACCTGATTTTTGATTCAGCTTCTATATTCCTTTCCTATCTGTTTATATTATCTTCTTATCTTACATTACCACAACAGCTTTTGCCAAAGTAATATAAAACAATTTAAACTTGCTGACTAGCTTAGACATCCTAAGTCTAACTTACAGAAGAGACCAAGTTCCAACTGGTAAATAAAAGGGAGCCTGTCATTTTTAAAACAGCTCAAAAATATTATGTAGACTATGTTGGAAGGCTGTGGATTTGAATGCTCAGTAAAATGTGTTTACTTAAAAGGATTGCTTGCTTGCAGTGTTTTGCTGCTATTGCAATTCTTTTTATATATGCTAATCTATACTAGAGAGAGAACAGAATTTGGTAAACTGAAACGGGAAGAAAAAATACATCTAAAACTAGCCATGACTGCAGGACGATGAAACAACTCAATCAAATGTAAAATGCAATCACCAAACGATCACAGATATAAGTAAAAAATTTTATTTTCCTTTTCTTCTTCCAGGCATATCTTGATAAATTCTTTCCACTTCTTACAAAAACACAAAGCCTAAGCTTAGAAGAGAGGATTAAAGAAATGCAGAGGTTTTTCCACCTGACTGTAACTGGAAAATTAAATGCAGAAACAGAAGAAACAATGAAACAGCCCAGATGTGGTGTCCCCGATATAGCAGATTACAGCACATTTCCTGGAAATCCAAGATGGAAAAAGACACGTTTGACTTACAGGTTAGTGATGTTTCAGGTTTTATGGGGAAAGGGTTGATTTATATTTAACTGTGCGGGCTTCCTTCACATCATAAATGACATTAATCTGTTTTCTTTTGCTGCTAGGATTGTCAATTACACACCTGATCTACCTGTAAAGAAAGTGGATGCTGCAATTAAAAGGGCTTTTATGGTATGGAGTGATGTGACTCCACTGCAGTTCCAAAGAGTATTCAAGGGATACGCAGACATTATGATTCAATTTGCACGTCGTGGTGAGAATACCTGTCATTTTAAAAATGCAATGGTCCATATTTGACTCATAGCATCTATTTTTACAGCCACAGCTTTAAGAAAGAACAAAGAGTTTGGCATTATTCTGAAGTCTGCATAAATTTTATCTTCTCTTTATCATGCCACCAAATTCATATGTTATGATTCAGTTTTACTCCTATGAAACCATTAGAAAATCTTTTCAGAGTTATAGCTGTAAAATGGAGGGAGAATTCAGTTCCAGAATGAGATACCTAAATTTAGATGTCCATGGCTCTGTCTGCCTTGACAAATAGTGCAAACTAATGGGAACAGATCTGTAAGGCAAATCAGCTGGTTCTGAAGATCCAGCCTCAACAGGCTGGATTCAGGCAGGTGCAGGCAGGTTTACTTTGTCCTAGATCTAGTATGGTCCCCTGGACTAAACAGTCTTTGGCAGCTGGGGTGCATTAGGTTTGGCTATAGAGAGTATCTTCTCGTTGATTTTCTTCTAGAAGAAATCCCATTGGTGCACTCCAAGATTGCACCAAAGTGCAAGCCAAAGCATGGTAAATGCGGATGACCAGTAGAATCATAGAATCATAGAATGCTTTGGGTTGGAAGGGACCTTTAGAGGTCATCCAGCCCAACCCCCCTGCAGTGAGCAGGGACAGCTTTAACCAGATCAGGTTGCTCAGAGCCCCGTCCAACCTCACCTTGAATGTTGCCAGGGATGGGGCCTCCACTGCCTCTCTGGGCAACCTGTTCCAGCAGAGTCACTTCAGAAGCTCATTTGTGATCTAGACTAATACATGAATGTAGCCATACCTTTAATTTGTGCCTGACACCTAAACTGGCTCAGCTTAGCCAGACTAAATGCCTACTTCAAGATTAGCTGACTTGTTCTCTAGATCCATTGACAATACTTACTAGATCTCCATTGACTGTAAGTGAAGATCAGACACCTAGCTTACAAGTAGATGACTGCATATAAACACCAAAATGACCCAAGCTCATGCTTCACTGATGGGAAGCATATTATGTTGCCATGAATAGTTGACTAATGTGCCAGTCAAAGTGAGAAAGAATCCTGCAAACTGGAATGGGTTTTAATCCCTCGTCACGCAACAGGACTAGGTCTCTTCTGCCCTGTTAGGCCTGCCCCAAGGTCCATCCACATGGTCTGAGGGAAAGGACACAGAATGGCATTTGAGTCCCCCAAATACTCCTCAATCAAGCCAGAAGCTCACTAAGGGGTGGGGGGAAATTTTCAGAGCTGGTACAAATATACCATCCTGTCAGCTCTTGCACCCGAGGTAGGAAATGGTAATATTCCACATGTGCTGTGATAGAAGTAGGTAATAGACAGTACCCCAAGGCTGGGGACAAATGAACTTAGCTCTTCAGGAACATGGTTATCTATCCCAAATCATTGTCTTCCACTAAAATCAGTACAAGTGAGAACATCTACAACTAAAGTTGCCCAGCACTTTCCAACATTGAAAACATTCAGGTGCTTATAATGTCAAGCATTAAGTATTTATTCTGAAATCACCCCTGAATGCTGCCTCAGAAACACATTTCTGACAAAGGCTCAGAAAAAATGTCCACGTCTTTCTGAAAATACAAGTTTTGAACTTAAGTCATGAATTTGGAGGGTGTTTCCTAAGCCTTGGTCCTGGTTTTTACAACCTTGCTGCTATTGTAGGATTTTTTTTAAGGATTAGTAATGAACAAAACTAGCACAAACAAGCAACATGTTTCAATTTGCTGAATTTAAACATTACAGCTGATGCCATCTGATGACATTTATTTCTTTTCAAATGCAGAGCACGGTGATGGAGAGCCTTTTGACGGAAGAGGTAGAGTACTAGCTCATGCGTTTGCACCTGGAGAAGGGCGTGGTGGAGATGCTCATTTTGATGAGGATGAAAGGTGGTCAGAGTCCAATAAAGGTAAAACCCACATGTGTGTATGAAGGAGAAAGGCAAATATTGTACATGTTAGAAGAACACAGCCATAGGAAATGCTTTCCATAACTCTTTATGCTTCAGTACCATTTCAGTACCAATATTTCTGTTCTTTTCAACTACCTCTTTAAGTACTTGTGCTTCATTATCATTAGCAGCCTGTTCTGTCCATATTTTAAAGCACTTTTCACAGGCTAAACAAGGACTATGAGCCTTTGTTTTCTACATAAATTATGAAAAGGTAAAATTACTTGCTTGTAGGAATAAGGTTGACTAAAAGCAGAGTTGGAAAGAGACTCAAGGTCTCTAGATGCATATATAAGGTATCAGTAATGTTTTTATTAAAATATTATAGTTACATAAGAAAGTTCAGTAATAACTGATCAAAACTCCGAGGTTTCATTCTAAAGCAATGAAAGATATAAATTCTCCTGCTATTTGATTCTTTGTATGCTAAAAAGAGATGCCATACCTTTAACATACTTTTCCATGTTTTTGTGTTACAGAAACTAATTTGTTCCTTGTTGCTGCTCATGAACTTGGCCATTCTTTGGGACTTGCTCATTCAAATGTCCGTGAAGCTCTGATGTACCCTACCTACTCATATGTGAACCCAGCAACCTTCAGACTTTCAGAGGATGATAAGCGAGGAATTCAGAAGTTATACGGTAAATTCATTATGAGATTTGATTTTCAAGATAAAACCTACTGGGGTACAGGTTTCACTTCTCTCCCTAACTGCAAGGGCCTCATCATATTACCAAAAAGAAAGAAGGGGAACAAACTTGGGAAAAACCCTTTGCTGTATAGTACATCCACTATGTTCCTTCTGCAGCATGTCCCCACTGCAACCAAGAGGTGACGGAGCTAGCAGTGCAGCAGTCTGGCACACTGTTTTCCTGCACACCTACATATTGCTATACAAATCCTGTGGATCTTGCTTTACAAATGAGCTGTTTCAGTGAGTAGGGCTACTGGCAGGGAAATGAGAGGTACTGTACCACTTACCAAGTCAATAGGACAGTTCAGAGAAGGCAGAACTACTCAGCAGTAGGAGTGGAGCATAACCAGAATTGACCCCATGGAGTAAACTTTGCCAGGTTTGCTTTTCTTTAGGCACCACCTTCCTCAGGGCATGCTAGGGGAACACTAGAAATAAAGCATAGTTGCCTGCATTGTCCATTTCCAGTACAGTCTCTATGTTTTATGCTTCTTTCCCACAGGGAGAAAGTCGCCAAACTCTTGAAGAAAGTGCTTCAAAAAGACCAAAGAATTCACATCTGATTGTTTTGATGTTACAAAACAACTTCAATCCTCTAGCTAATTAAAGTGGTAAACTCCTGGACTGCACTTTCTCTTCCTGAGTTTTTATATTGATTTCTTTGCACTTTATACAATTTCACTTACTTAACGATTAAAAAAAAAACCACAAACTTGTATACTCTGTTGCCTAACGTTTTTTTTTTTTTTTTTCTTCTGGAATTTCACTGGGGGATTAAATAACCCATGCATGTGTGATAGACAGACAAATATTTTTTCAAATAGAGGCACAGGTACCTAAAGACCCTATGTGCATTTACTGCTGGAGTCACAAACCCTGTTCCTGGCTTGCTTTCGGTTCCTATGCATGTCCTGGCCCTTCACAGTACCTACTGCTGCCTCCTCAGAATTACAGTGTGCTTCCCATACAGCTCACACATAGAGGAGAAGGTGCCCACAGTGCTTCCTTCAGCATGGGCTGGGATGCTTTCCCAAAGGGAACAGCTTTTCAACTTTGTGTCCTCCCTGGCTTGCCAGAGAAGCAGGTTTAAGAAGTAGTGGACTAGGATTCCCATTGTGATATTCAAATACCTCTCAGGTATTTTGAAATTAAAAAAAAAAAACCCACCAAACAGGAGTTCTCCTCTCCTTTGGAAGACTAATCCCACAACACCAGAAAACAAAAACAAGCACAGACAGGCATAACCCTGGAAAAACTAGGATGACCTCCTGGTTGCTGGAGCCAGTCAGTCGTCCTAGGGGCCTGAGCTGCTCTCTGCTACAGGGTGGGAAGACACAAGAAAATGCATCCATGTCTCTCAATCCCAAGAGAAAATGGATATGCCTTCCCGGCTCCCTGAGCAAAGCATCACCTGAGAAACTTCAAAGCCTCCACTAGACTCAGTCCTTGGAGAGGCTGGGAAGGATGTGATGAGAACAGCTTACTTTGCACACAGGCATGGGAGCTACGAGGACAGGCTGAGAGAGTTGGGTTTGTTCAGCCTGGAGAAGGGAAGGCTGCAGGGAGACCTTAGTGCGGCCTTTCAGTACTTAAAGGGGGCCTATAGGAAGGATGGGGACAATCTTTTCAGCAAGGCCACTCAGAGACAGCTTCTTGTTTGCAGCTCAAGTCCATCTACCAACCTGATCTAGTTAAAGATGTCCCTGCTCACTGCAGGGGGCTTGGGCTAGATGATCTCTAAAGGTCCCTTCCAACCCAAAGCATTCTATGATTCTGTGATTTTATGAAAAGCCTTTTCCAGATCAAGAGCTGCTGCCTGGTGATGCAAGGGCTCTGAGTCCACATACAACTGGGAAAAAGTTTTGCCCAGCCCCAGGTTTGGTGCAGGAGACCTGAGAGAAGGAAGTCTGCTGATGGGCAACGTCTCACACAAGAAAGTGGTGGCGTCTTTTGCAGTTCAAGGGCCAGGTGGAAAGGAGGAGAGGCAATTTTAATCTACCTATACTCAGAAGACTCATGTCCTGATCTCTCAGCCACCAGACATATACATTTCCTAGGATAGCATCTAAACACTAATACACTTCCCAAGGTAGGGCTAATTCCCAGTCACGTTTCTGGGTACCAACTGTCTATGGGTTTTTCTCCTCCTGGCTCCCTGGAGCCGGAAGGGATGTGAAACAAGTTGTAAGGAATGAAGGTCAATTACTCTCTGTCACATTGGGAAACTACCTTTCATGCTTTCTTTCTGACCTCTTCTAATCACTCCTTCCTAGCTGACACTTTACATTCAAAGTCCACCAGCAGAAAAAGGATCTTCACCATCCATGGGACTGTCACTGCTCTGTGATTGCCTTGGAAGTGCCTCCAGCAATGGCAAGACAGCAATCCTACAGCTACCTCCTCTATAAGGAGAGGGAGCAACCAGCTGAAGAGGGGAGGAGAGAGAATTAGAGCTTCTGACCTGCCAGATGGACAGCAGTTTATTCCATAAAGAATTCCTGTTAGTCCAGTCCGTCTTACCTAATATCTGCTGCAAGAAGCAGCACCAGATGGTGGGATGGCTGAAATAAGTCACTGAGACATCCGGATTATCAAGGATATATAAGGATAGGGTATGAAGCATGGTTCTTCAAGTGCTTCCCCTCAGAAAGGTTTCTCACCTCTGGTAAGACAGAAGTTTGAAAACACTCCCATCAGTTACTAGTCATTTCTTCCTGTTGTGGTTTAACCCAGTAGACAGCTAAACACCACACAGCTGTTCGCTCACTCCCCCGCTGCCCAGTGGGATGGGGGAGAGAATCAGAAAAACAAGTAAAATTCATGGGTTGAGATAAGGACAGTTTAATAGCACAGAAAAGGAAGGGAAAATAATAAAAATAATGATAATAATAATAAAAACCAAATTAAGTGATGCACAATGCAATTGCTCACCACCTGCCGACCGATACCCAACCAGTTCCCAAGCAGCAATCACTGCCCCCCAGCCAACTCCCCCAGTTTATATACTTAGCATGACGTCATATGGTATGGAATAGCCCTTTGGTCAGTTTGGATCAACTATCTTGGCTGAGCCCCCTCCCAGCTTCTTGTGTATCCGGCAGAGAACGGGAAGCTGAAGAAGTCCTTGACTACTTAAGCACTACTTAGCAACAACTAAAAAAAACATCAGTGTGTTATCAATGTTATTCTCAGACTAAATCCAAAATACAGCACTATGTCAGTTACTAGGAAGAAAATTAACTCTATCCCAGCTGAAACCAGGACATTTCCACATGAAGGTCAAAGATGAAGTAGCTAGGACTAAGTGTATATTATTTTGAGGGCCATCTCTCTTGAGGTACAAGAAAACCAGGAAGTCTCAGAATAGAGGGTCAGAGCCCAGACTGCATTAAAGACTATGAATCATAGCACCACCACGCTCTAACCAACTGAGCTAACCAGGCTGGTCATGAAGAATGGGTCTAGTGAGCTCCATGGCCTGTGTGGATGTTCAACCCACTTGGGTCGACCTGGGGGTGGTCCTGGAAAGATGCAATGTTGACATAAAATACCTGTTCTATTGGCCAAGGTTCCCACAGGGAACATAGCACAAGACAGGGACACACCATGTGCTTTATTGAGCTCAAGTCACTCACTAGTGCTTCTTAAAGAGAAAACACACACAGAAGACAGACATCATCAGAGGAAAGACTGTGCAGAAAGAACCATTCCTAAGGACGCATGGGACAACTCATGCACTATGCTGGAGCAGTCACTGTACTGACAAATGAGGAAGGTATGAGAACAAATACTTGACTGAAAGTAGCAGATCTGTTTTCTAATGTACAATTAATTTCCATATGAACTGAGATGAATGGGATAAAACTCCAGAGGTTTATTCCTAGGAAGACTGTCCTACCAATAGGACACATATGGGAGACAGCTTCCAGCAAGCACATGAGCTGACCAGCCTGCAGCGGAGCCAGCACACAGTGGGAGTGAGGCACCCTTGTGTCTTGAAGGAGGCATCTCCGAGGGGCAGCAGCACTCAAGTAGCATCTCCACAGCATGTGAAATAAAGTAGGAGCCAGGATTTTTGTCCTCAGAGAGGACAAAGGTACCACTGATGATCAGTCAGCAGCATCTTACCTCTTCCGGAGCTCCTGTTGTGTTTCCATTCACATACAGGACCTCTCCTTTGAGGAAGACGGCTGCCACTGGCACACCTCACCCTGCTTACTATACGTGAACTACGCAATATCTGCCTCCATCTAGTGGTACAGCTCGGCAAACTGCACTGGCTTTACACCCTGGTGTAAAGTGCATCTTACCTGCCCACAAGCCCACAGCAGTTACTACTATACATCCCACCATTAGGGGAAATTAGGGACAAGAGCAAATTTAGCAAGGGTGCTGCTGCCTCTTCCTTCTTCACTTTATTCTACTGCATTCTGTGTGAGTTTTCACATAGTAGTACATATCTGAGGACATCTAAGTGCATTATGTCACTTAAACAGCATCTGCTCCCTCCTCTTCCATAGAGAAGAAGAAAAGGGTAATCACATAGTGTTTGTTTTTGGTAGGGCTTTGGATTTTTATTTTTAAATAAAAATATATTTAAATGCAGCTTTGCTGTTCCAGATAGTACAACAAGCAGCAAATGAACTCTCAAATGTGATAACATTTCTGATGGGTCCTTTGACCATCCACATATAAAACATAAGCTTTACTCCTGTTTTAAGAAAGTCATGGTTATTACCCTAGAGAAGCTATTACTGGGACTTACCCAGTCATTCAGGTATCCTGAGCCTACTCCATCAAACACGGAGTGATATTCTGCGAGGGAAAAGTCGATATGCATGTGATAGAATTGTGCACAAGAGGTGCACAGGACCCGTAGGAAAATATTAGTTTTAGTCCACACTACAGTATTGATTCTACTTCATCTGCTGTCTAAGAAAAATTTAA